GGCAGAATTAAAAATTAGGACCGCGGCCGAACTTTCTCCAGTGTTGAAATATCTGCCGTGCACACACTGACAAAGTAAAAATCATGCAATTACAAACACATGTTTCATCTAGACACGCTTTTATCGGTAGATGGAAATCACCTCAAGGACAAATGATGAACACATTTATTAGCACTTTTCTTCTTTGTGTGTATGTACATGCACATGTGTGTCTGTGGATCTGTTCAGGTTTGGTTGTTTAAACCGGCTCCTGTGGAGTGTTGACCATGTCCATCTAGTGCTGCAGCTGAGGGCCTCTGGCGTACATGAAGGCCCCTAACACCAGCACTCCCAGTAGGACTGGAGGCTCTGGGAGAAAGATATATGAATACCACTGTGCCAGTGTTTTGATCTTATCTGCAGCAATACTAACCCCCACCCACCCACCACCACCAACACCAACGATACCCCCCTTTAATTTTATTTTCTATATAACGCCAGATCACAACACTGAGACCCGGAAATCAGAATCTTATAGGCTGCTTAAAATGCCTTAGATTTTGTGTTACTTATTTATCTACTTTATATTTCATTTGTATTTTGTGGCATTTGTGTGGATGGCAAAGTAAGAATTTAATTGTACAGGGAAACACGTTTCCTAACTGTGCATATGACAAATAAATTCATTGACCTTTGACCTTAACCTAGAATATATTGGTGGCTATCCAAGCAGACATTCATTCCACAGTCACATGAGACTGAGATTGCACTGGGATGTAAACCACACTCACAAAACGATTTATCATGCCTTCACAGGGAACTGAAACCGACCTGCCTTATCAAAGTCAGTGGTGTTAATCCCCTGCTGTATAGGCAGAATTTTTAGAATTAGGGTTGAGGTTGTTTTGGCCTCCAATGTCTTAGAATTTTTAGTGGTTATTGGTTAATGCCGTTTAGCAAGGGAAAGGGTGTGAGGCACACATTTTAATTAAAACAGCAATGAATTTCAGCCATTTCAGCATTTTCAGGGCGATTCGTCAGCATCCACACGCATTTTCTTCTGGAAATGCATTTGTCCAGTTATTATTATTATGTGCTTTTAGTACTTTAAGAATTTTTGTCCAGTAAAAATGGTAATTAAACTCTGGAAAATGCCGTCACCACCACCCAAAAGACAGAGACTCTATTCTCTTTCTTTACCTCCCACGGGCACATTTTCTCTGCTCCTATTGGACAGTTTCCCGGACGTCGCCTCAGCTCGTTGGTCCGCCACCTGTCACTCAAACGCAACACGGAATCGTACAAGGAAGCGGCAGACAAAAACAAGACATAACCGTGCCACTACGGGATTAAAACCTGAATTACGGATGTCGTGGTTGGCTCACAAGGTATATGTCTGTTCAGTTACTTGGCAGAGGTCTTTGCGTTGTCGCGTTGGGCCATATAATTAATTAAAACATGTTTTAATGCACCTTAAAACCCCCAGCCTCAGGTAAGGTTAGCCTACGCCCCTGCGTCAAAAAGTGGGAAAGGTCTTTATTTAATTTAGTGCAAAACCCGCGAGTCCTTTTGGGCACCTCTTTGTGAGTTTGTTCCCCGCCAGTTCTGTATATAAGACTTCAGATGTGATTTAGAGACGATTAGAGATTAGAGTTCCAGGTTCTGGGCACTTAACTGCCAGGCCCCAGCTGGGCAGCGCGGTGGTCGCGTCTAGTTTCTGTCATATCGGCTCATTTTGATGTTCACAATCGATTTGTCAGCATTTAAAAGTTAAATGCTTATCTGTCCAATAGTCTTGAGTTAACAATTGACAAATCCTCATATTTAGTTTTATCAGTGTGGTAGTTACATCTGTATGTCCGAGAGAAAATTATTGTTATTGTTTGTGGGATCAGTGGTTTTCTGTTCTACCTCTTTGTTTCATTATAGTTACTAAAGCATGAACCGAATACTGCAGGGTCACGTGGGTAAATGCTGTTAACAGGCAGCAATATAGGCTACCAGTTTTTTTTTTTTAAATCACGTGTTTGCTAAAGTCATTTGTTTCATTTTGTGAATTACATATAAAATAAAACATTTACCAGAGCCAGTGCAATCATACAGGGACACGAAGCAGCAATACTGGCACTGGAGAAGCTGGAACAAGAAACTGGACTTTTTTAGTTGCAAATTGACTCAAAGAATTAATCATTTAGTAATTGAGTTTACTAGATGGCTAATCATTGCCGTTCTAATCTGAAAACTGCTAATTCTCCCCATTCTTCATTGCAAAACATTAAGGTCTGTCATGTGGCATATACCTTTTTTTCATGTCAAGGCAGAAATGAAATCAGATTCAATTTGATTCATTGCTGTTAAATATGAAAGCTTCCATCATGGGATAATACTTCTTCTGGGCACTGGAATTGCCCAAGTTGTATTAAGCCACAAAAAAAGGATCACAAAAATGCCAACCAACCAGCTATCAGCTAATACTGACAGTAAGATCATTCTCTACATGCTGATGTAACACTAGTGTAGAAAAAAAGTAGTGTAATAAAACTAACATTGCAGCGAATTCCTCTGTTATCTATTTTTGATTCTTTACAGAAAAATGTCAAATAAGGAGAGTGGACCAGGTGAAAACGGCCAACCGGTGACTATGCCTCCTGAAAGAATAGCCACTAACAAGAGCAGAGAAAACCAGAACCAGCGTGCGGTCGAGACAACAGGAGGCACCACAGACACCAGCACAGCAGCAAAAAACTTAGCTTTGCTGAAAGCATACTCTCTGGATGTGAAGTTTGATGTTGGAGAAGAGTATGATATCATCGAAACCATTGGTACCGGGGCCTATGGCGTCGTCTCATCTGCCAGGAGACGGGATAATGGTAGGACTGGTTTGATGAAGAAAACACATTATACATGTACTACAGTGCTTTGAGATAAATGTGGAAATTTGTTCTTCAAATTCCCCTCATATTTACATTTCACAGGCCAGCAGGTGGCGATAAAGAAGATCTCCAATGCTTTTGAAGTGGTGACAAATGCTAAGCGCACCTTGCGAGAGCTTAAGATTCTCAAGCACTTCAAACATGACAACATCATTGCCATCAAAGACATCCTGCAGCCAAACCTTCCTCACTCTGCCTTCAAGTCTGTGTATGTACTTTTTCTTTTCATTGTAACTTTGGTGGCAAATAACACATACACAAGGTTCTTCTGTGGTCCTCTGTGATTATTAATAAGTTAGATATCTGGAAGGCTTTTCATGATAAATTAGATGTATATAATTTTGTTCAGCCCAGTAAGAAAAAAGAAAACTCTGTATGATGCCTCTCTATTTAAATACATTTTCACATCAATTTTATGAAGATTTTCATTTGCAACTCATTCAGGGTAATTTGCTGCTGAAGATGCTGTTTGAGGAGATTCCCCCCCCCACATGACCAACATTTTAATCAGTCTGCAAATCAAAATACCTTCTATGACCAGATTGTGCACCTCTCACTTTTACGTTCTTAATGTTTGCAGATATGTGGTGCTGGACCTCATGGAAAGTGACTTGCACCAGATCATACACTCTGCCCAGACGCTCACCCCAGAGCACACGCGCTACTTTTTGTACCAACTCCTCCGTGGCCTCAAGTATGTGCACTCTGCCAATGTCATCCACCGTGACCTCAAACCCTCAAACTTGTTGGTGAACGAGAACTGTGAGCTAAAAATCGGTGACTTCGGCATGGCGAGGGGTCTCAGTTCACATCCTGAGGAGTCTTATTCCTTGACTGAATATGTGGCAACTCGATGGTATCGTGCTCCTGAACTCCTGCTGTCTCTGAATCACTATAGTTTGGCCATTGACTTGTGGTCTGTGGGGTGCATCTTTGCAGAAATGCTGGGGCGTAAGCAGCTTTTTCCTGGGAAGCACTACGTCCACCAGCTCCAGCTCATTTTGTCTGTGTTAGGAACTCCTCCTGAGGGTTTAATTGGTGCTATTAGGGCTGACAGAGTGCGCTCCTATGTTCAGAGTCTTCCATCACGGTCTGCTGTGCCTTTGGCCAAACTATACCCACAAGCTGAACCAGATGCTTTGGACCTGCTGGGGGCCATGTTGCGCTTTGATTCTCATGAACGAATCAGTGTGACGCAGGCGCTGGAGCATCCTTACCTGGCCAAGTACCATGACCCAGATGATGAGCCAATTTGCGTGCCAGCTTTTGACTTTGAATTTGACAAGCTTCCAATGAACAATGAACAAATAAAAGAGGCAATTCTGATGGAGATCCAGGACTATCATCGAAAGAAACAGAGCTGTCGCCAGAGACTGCAGTTCAGGCCTTTGGCAAGGGTGAACGGAGGAGCTGCAGCACAAAGCAGCAATCAGTACAATGCTCAGTCCTTGACCAGCAACCTTACCAATTCAGCACTGGTTCCCATGGCACAACACCCACAAGCAGCACAGATGCAGCAGCAAATGAGAGAGACAAAATCTCAGCAGTCACAAGACCACACACCAGCAGAAGGGAATCATACATTCACAAATCAGATGCAAACCTTTAATAAGCCCACACCCCTTTTAGAAGTTGCCCGACCTCATTTGACCCATAATCTGCCTCTCCTCTCTAAAAACGAAAGTGGTCCAGTTGATGTAGACATGCCCAGTGCCAACTCAGACAGCGGCCAGCCAGAGACTATAGATTTAACAACACCAGTGTCTAGTCAGGAAACAATGAGAGACAGTGAGACACAGGACCAGCTAACCAGCAGTCAGGCTTCTGTGACTCGGCCCACCCAGAGCCAGTCCATGACCCAGGATTCCACCAGTATTCCTGCAACACCAGCACAGACCACGACCCCCCTACCCACCGCCGTGCCTTTTCTTTCTCTCTCTGTGGCACAAGCCCACTCACTGTCCAGGTCTCTTTCCCAGTCGCTGTCGAAAAATGTCAGGCCTCCTCCTGGTGCAGGAGAGGGAACCAGAAAAGAGGGAGCGATTTCAGAGGACACTAAAGCTGCACTTAAAGCAGCTATATTGAAATCAGCTCTCAGAAATAAATACAGGGGTGGTAAGTTCATTTTCCTTATATAGTGTTTTTTTTTTTTTTTTTTTTTTAATATTGCACACCACTTACATCTCATCCTTTTATCTGTGTTTCATATCTTTAATGCAGATGGAGGAACCTCTGCTCTGGGCCTGGACGCTGGTGGAGGAGGGGGTGTGTCATCCTCCCTGTCTTCTGTTCCAGAGTCGCGTCGGCCTGTCACCGCCCAGGAGCGTCAGCGAGAAAGAGAGGAGAAAAGAAGGAAGAGGCAAGAACGAGCAAGAGAGAGGGAGAGGAAAATGAAAGAGAAGGAGAGAAGAGAGGGGAAACAGGGTGACTCGTTGGGTGGGGTCCTGCTGAGTGACAACGACAAAAGCCTTTTGCAACGTTGGACAAAAATGATGGACAGCTGCAATGAGAAATCGCAGACTCTTCATGATGGCGTGAAGAATAAGGACATCGGTGCAAACTCACACAGGTGTGTTGCCATTGGTGATAACAGTCAAGGAGCACTGAACAGTAAAACAGACGAGGCAAGGAAGATACAGTCTCTTGAACAGTTAATCTCTCAAGTTAAACATAACCAGCCAGGCTTGTTTGAGCCTCCCAGCACCCAGCAACCATCAGTACATTTCTCCATTAAGCAGAGGAAGCCTCCAGCGGATGTAGGTGTTGCTGTGAGCGGAGGAATAGATATAATGAATGTCACCAGTGGCTTTATTAAAAACAGCACGCTCGAGGCTCACAACGAGAGCAACGGACAAAGCAGTTCCAGCTGTTTGGGGAACTGGAGCGGGCAGCAATTAGAGACTAGACCACCACAACAACAACCAAACAGGAAAGTGCAGGGCCTACCACCAAACTTTCTTCAGCTTCAAAATCAAACCCAACCTGACCCTCAACCTCAGTCACAGCTGCTTCCCTTGGAGAGTTTTTTGACTAAAGCACTAAGCACCAGAGACACCAACGGCAATGCAGACATTGGAGGCCAAAACAACCTCAACCCTAATTCCTCAGCTACAAGTGCTGGGCCGATGGAGAAGCTGTGTCCCTCTGTAGGAGAGAAATCACAATCGCAGACCACAAACCCTCTCTGTGGGGATTTAGGGGTCCCTTCACAGCCTCATCCCAGCTTAGCATTCACAGATACCGGACAACAAGGGCCCTCCATTCCACCTGACATCCATACTGTAACAGTGCAGCTATCAAAATCCCAGGTGTGTCTCTGGTTTCTTCTGCTGACAGAAGCTATATACCAGAGCACTGGAGTTGCATTTATTATTGATGCTTTACAAAAACATTTTATTTTACATATATTCTAGCCTTAAATGTCACAATCTTTTACTTCTCTTGAACCAATAGATCCAATGATCACTTGACCCCATGTTTCCCCCTTTTCCTTTGTCAGGTGGAGGATATTTTACCCCCAGTGTTCTCAGTCACCCCTAAAGGCAGTGGTGCTGGGTATGGCGTGGGCTTTGACCTGGATGACCTTCTCACACAGTCTCTCACAGACCTGCAACACTGTGACCGGGACAGGTGAGGTCTAATACAGCATGAGCTTGTTTTCTAATAGTTGTGAACAAAACCCGTGTCTGATGCTATAAAAAGGCACACCTTCTGCCAGGGTTTCACCCATATCAAGTTATTACCTTCGCCAATGCATGTTGTAGTTGTCAAAGCAAATGTGGCTCTGCAGCTCTCAAGTAGCTCAAGTTCAGTTTTCACATAACATTCTTTATGGCAAATGTAGCACAACACGTCAACTCAAAGGGATAGGTTCACATTTGTTGCAAGTATCTCTCAATGCAGTACTTAATAATGCATGTTAGTATTGTTTGCTTTAATTATTCCTCCTATCGTACAAATATTCTTGGTAAAGAAAGGAGGTCTATGTAAACTACATTACAGTTACATCATAGTCCTTTTAACTTGTGTATGTTTTAAATTTAAATGTTTTACTGTCAGCTTAATACACATGTAGATTATACAGTCAGCTGTCAGGTTATTAGATACACCTATCTAAAATAGTCTGTTCAGTTTTTGTTGAAACTGTTTCAGTTTGTATCGGTTCAACTTTGGGATCACTTCAGTTAGTGCTAGTGAATTACACCAAACGGAACCGGCACGTTTCTAATAATTTTTTTTTTTTTTTACACCCTGTCTTTAATTGATAAGGGTAGACTAAACAAACACTTGTACTGGTGTTTAGCTATGTGTACCTAATAAACTGGCAGCTAGGTTTAAGTTGTAGGTTTCAAGTGTACCTTGTGAAGTGTTAAAATAAGCGATCCATATAAACGTCAGGTAAGTGTTGAAACAGCAGGTCTCACTTTCCCAATTGTAATTTGAGTCTCCAGCCTACCTAATGTTTGCCCTTAACTGCTTCCTCATTAAGTTACACTGAATGTCAAAGTAGCAAACTTTCCAGATAAATATAATTCTTGTATAATCATTAAAGAGCCATTATTTTGTTTACATTTTCTCCTCCGTCAGTTATGACTCGGCTCCCCTCTCGGCCTCCCTTCTGTCTGATTGGAGCGAGGTTCACCGCATGACTCAGCAGGAGTTACAGCTGGGCTCTCCGATGATCCTGTCTGACACCATGGCCCCAGACGCCTGACTTTCCCTTTCATGGAATTTAGAAAGGCAACACTGATTTATGTACGTTAGGTTTTAGCATGAAAATCAAATTAATTTAACAATTGTCTTTTTTAACTAATAAGCTGTCTTTTTATCATGATATGCTGTAATAAAGAAAACAGTCACCACTTGTTTTTGCTTCTGATATTAAATGAACTTTAATATTTCAAAGGGAACATCGTATGTCTTTACAGATGGGTTGGGGTCTTCGAGGTGGAGGTAAACAATAAGAATGCTTAAAGATTTGTTACATGTTTTCAGTAAAAGGTTGGACAGAGCACTGAGGTGATAACAAAATACAAAAAATTTAGCTCATAATTCCGATTTAAAAACCAAGCCTATCAAAGCTATTTTGAATTTAAGATTAAATGCAGAGTTTTGGTGCTAAAGACATTTCATGTTCAACATGGCTTCATGTGCATGGCAGAAACAGTTCTTTAGTTTGACTACTCCATGTCAGACAATGAGAATCATTAAGCGCCTTCATTTCACCTGGTTTACACATCACCTTCTAGAAATCCAGTTTTCAAAGTGGTTTATGTCTGAAGTAGGATCAGTAGAGTGGACAGACAGAAAACCAACACAACAGTCCTCTCAGACCACTTCTGGTCAGCTCGGTCATACAGTTTGATCTCTGGTATGTAGCTGCTGATGAAGCTTGAGTAGCTGGTCAGTCTGGCATATACACCTGGCTGGTTTGCGTTAGCACAGCCCTCTCCAAAGCTCACCACCCCGGCCTGCACCCAGGTCCCATTTGACATCTTGCAGACAAGAGGCCCTCCCGAATCACCCTGGAAAAACAACACAGGCATGTGCTAGGCTTTCACCACTGGGAGGTATCCAAGGGCTCAAAATTAAGGTCTTACAATCTATGACAGTGGATGATCACAGAAAACTAGCATTCCAAGTTATTCCAATGCAGGTTTTTGTTCTGCTTATGTATACAGTTCAAGTGTTGTGAATATAAACAGCAGCACAAATGGCTGATTCAACAAAACCTGGCAGGAGTCCTTGCCGCCCTCCTGGTATCCAGCACAGATCATGTCAGACAGGATGTCCACCTGTGCTCCACTCTGCTGGTACATCCGCTGACATGAACTCTGGGAAATGATTGGCACCTGCACTTCCTGCAGAGTCCCGACTCCTTGCAGAGGCACTGAGGGGGATACGAGGACAGATGGAGAATGAACAACAAAAAAAGCATGAAACTTAAATTTCTGCAGTTGAACAGGGGTCAGTAAGCTTTCTGCTACTCATATGGTACACAAGATGCTAACTTCAACAATTTTTATCCATTGTAAATCCATTATAAACATCAAGATGTATTTTGTCTTAGTGTAGACAACATTTCTCTGTTTGTTTATATTGTTTTTGTGTATACTTTTGCAACAATTTAAATACTATTCAATAAAGGAAAGAAAAACCATGAATCACTTATGCAAATTATTTTATGACTGCAGAGCATACTGTGCATGTAAATGTACTGTGACTAAAGTGATACTTTTGGGTGCAAATCTGTTTTAAATAAGCACGGCTCCTTCTGCTGGGATTCTAGAGCTATGGAACGAAAAACTGACAATTTAAAATATCCACAGTCTCTGGAGTCCATACATTCTAGGGCTGACCAGCTGAACTGACAGCAGTGTTACATTATAGAATATCATTTCTTCTGATATGGATACATACAGTATACTGTACATCACTGTTTGGAAAATGCATGCAAAACATAAAACATTTAAATTGATGTTTAGTGCAAATGTGTTCCACTGAAAGTAAAGCTTAACATCTGAAAAAACAAACAAAAAAACCTTAATTTTATTAGCAATTACAACTTGTTTGGAATTAGTAATGTCACAGCAACAATAACAGTGGGATCATATTTAAAGTCCAAAAAAAATTTAACCCAGTTATAGTGATTTCTAGATATTACTTCCTTGTGAGGGATTGGATTCTATAAGCCATCTTCTCAATCATTTACTATTCTATATCTACAGCATAAAGAGCATCATGTAAATTTTATCACTGGCTACTGTATAGTTTGACACCTAGACTTGCACTTGGCACCAGTAAACATTTCTTATGTTGAAAAGACAAAAAGATCGTGATGGAAAACAGTTACACACTACCAATCAAAAGTTTGGACACACGTTCCCATTCAACTACATGTCCCAGCGTTTGACCGATACTATACACAAATGGAAAGGATTCATATGCATAGACAGTCCAGACTATAAGAATGTGGACAGAAACACTTTTTTGTTCCTCAGGCTCTGTGCTTCAATTTGAAATTCAATAATAGATATAAAATGAAAGTATCAAGTCTCACTTTTAATGTGAGTAGGTTTATTTCAATACTGAAAGATCTGCCTGTCAAAAGAAACACTTGGCTACTAAATATCTCTTGGGTAGCCATGTTAACATTAGTTCATGCACACAAGCCCTAACCCTGACACATGGCTCAGAGTGGACTGAAAGTTGCTGGTTAAATTGAGATGCAGCTGTCTGTCAATAAGTAGTGAGGAAGTTTCCATGGAAAGATAAAACAGCTATTTGATGACTGATTAAATATTAAACTGATGAATAAGATGTATCTGCACAAATGCTAACAAAAGGCAAAGAGTTTAACAAACCCTACCATCTTGCCGGATGTTCCCCCAACCGGTGACAGTGCAGATGGTGCCACTTGGGAATGAGATGTAAGATGCAGGTAAGCAAACAGGATGGACATGATCTGACCAGGATACTGGGCTAGACAGCTGCACCAGTGCCAAATCACGTCCAGTCTGAGGTTCAGTGTAACCGGATGGGATCAACACCTGGACCACACGACGAGATGACATGTACGGATTGTCAGCATTCAGCTGGAATCGACCAACGTAGATGATGTAAGAGCTCACATCACTTGGACTAAAAGAAGAAGAGGAACAGTGAATGACACTTTATAAAATGGAAAACAAGGGGAATCAGAAATGTGGAACTTTTACATTTTAGAGACAAAAGGTTAAACAAAAGGTCACATTAAGGATTCTTTAAAAGTGGCCTGTTTGTCATGTTCCAGGAAAATTCATTTCACAAAAAACAAAACAAAGTGCACACATATACTCAGTCACTTTAATATTACTGTTTTGGTCCTCAGACCTTGATCAGATAACATTCAATTGAACTTTTAATCGGATTCAGTGGTGTCAGAGTCTCTGTGCAACAACTTTGTGGTAGGCTAATTATTCATATAGACAAATAACTGTGAAAACTAAATCAAATAAAACATGTAGGTTTAACGATTATTCAAAGAAGAATATTTAAAACGCTCTGCTTGAAAAAAGTATTTTCCTAAAGGGGTTTATGAAAACTTCAGTGGTCATTGCCAAGAATTCCAAAAACATAATTCAGGTGGCTGGCTAAAGAAGCAGAGAGCCTCTGTTCAGTGTTCAGCTGCAACTCTACCCCCTGAATTTTGTCTGGGTTGAGTGTTCTTACTTGGGAAAACAGTGAGCTGCTGATGCGACCCAGCTGTCTGAGATGAGGGAGCCTCCACAGATATGACCCTCAGCGGCTGTCTGGAAACCAGGGGGAGAAAATAATGAGCTACCTCTGCACCTTAAGCAAAGCCCAAAGAAGCAAACTAAACCGCACCCATAGTAAAAGAAAACAAATGTAATGTACCTGTATGTCCACCTGCCAAGGCCAAGCCCCGTTGGTGGCGTCTACTCCTCCCACAATCCTGCTCTCCACTAATGGTGGTCGGCCACAACCTTGGGCGTAAGCAAAAATGCCTACACAGAAATATTAAATGTCTGCGTCATTCAGACTGAGGCAACTGAACATTTGACAATACGACACAAAAACTAACTTACTACAGCATGTTTTAGACGGTCAAAGGAAAAAACAGACATGGCGAAAGCAAGGGAGGATTTGACAATACACTGATACTCACTTGTTATGTACCAATAAATGGCAAGAAACTGTAACTGCGGTGACATTCCGTCAGGTTTCGCAGCACAAATAAGCCTCAGCTATAAGTGAAGCATAAACAACAATTACTGATGACATTTAAAAAAAATTAAAAAAAAAGAGTTTTCTTTTGCTGCCGTTATTTCGACTTCCCCCCTCCTTTTAACACCATGTAACTAAAATCCAAGTAATAATTAACAAAAAAATGTTAAAACGCTTAACAATATAATCGATATCAATTGTTAAAGCCACATGTTCATGCAGTTTACCGTCAACTAAATCTGCTAACGGACTCCTCAAGTTGGGTTTCAGGTAAATACCGAACGTGATGCTCGACACAATCAGCTGACTACCTGTGTTCTTACCTGTAGCCAATCAAAACTATTATCCCGCCCTCGTGGCTCATTCGCGCCAATTAAATTAAAGAAGTGGAACCGCGAACAAATCAGATTCGCGCCTCAGGTGGTACAGATATTTTTTTCTGGCCAACAATGTAAATCCCTTGAGGTCTTAAACCAAAACTGAGTATACGAAACGTTTTGTCTTTGCCTGTTTTGTAATTTCTATATTTACCTGTTTCAAAATAATATGTGTGCAGGTATGTGATGACTTGCACTTAGTCCTTGTGTGTATTTGTTATGTTGCATTGGAGTGTTTACTTAGTGTGTAGAACAATGAATACATATTCAATTTTACTGTGTGTTGTGTTTTACTGTGATATAAAACTTAATTTTTTTGTTTACAGTTGACATGTTTATCATATCATTGTCTTATGAGATAGAAATATCAATTAATAATTGTTTGTTAATCATAAAAACATGGCAGAGCTTTATCAAAGTTGTTTTAGGTCAAATGTGAACATTAATTTTAATCTAATAATGTCATGTATTGCGTGAAAACAAAACACCCAACACAATTAACAGAAATAACTGCCAATGTAAATAATACACCATAAAAACATGCAGTTATATGTGTGTTTTATATTTGTCTTGAAAATTGTTATTCTGCTGATTTCATATCAGTTTTTAATAACACATCAAGTTTGAATTCCAGGCATGAAATTCTTTTCTTTGGAACTTGTTTAAGCTGTTTAGAAGTTGCAGTGAAATTTATAGGTACATAGACTACTTCCACTCCCTGTTCCAGGTGGATAGCAGTTTAACAGGTTGGATAAAGTCCACACAAGATAACATCCTAATCCTTCACACTAATTAACAGATGTGAGTGTGAGCAACAAAACAAACACCCAGGTAAAAGGTGAAACACTGTCCTAAACTGGGTAGATGTGTGTATGTAAGCAGTGATTATGTGTTTCTGTTGTTCCCAGCTCTACATTATTTGAGACTTTTATGCTTGTGGGTGGATTGTGAGGATTAACATGACTCATTTGATAGGTTTTTATGCCACACATCTGGGATTTAGTTATCATATTCTTCTACATGACACTAAATATTTATTCCTTCTGTCTGTCTATAAAGCTGTCTGTCTCTCTTTTTCCTCTTTTCCCTCCCTCCCTCTCTCTCTCTCCCCCTCCATCCCTGCCTGCCCCAGGCTGTGTGTCTAGTTTCACAGAGCAATTGAAGGTGACAGGGACAGAGAGAGAGGGAGAGGGAGGGAGGGACAGAGGGAGGACACATCACAGTATCGCCTGGGGCTACACAACAGTAAAGAAAGAGTGAGAGATGGAGGGACAAACAGGAGAAACTCACAAAAGTACTCATAGGGAAATCCATAAGCAGGTAATGGAAAAAAAAGTTACACAAAATAAGTTGAAATGTGTGAATGTTGCAGGTCAGCTGATGTTCACTTTTTATTACTAACAGCATTTTTTTTGTATGTCTGCTCCCCTCACTCATAATATATGAACACATTATAGGATCCAGTCTGTAAGAGCGATTATAATGCACTCCCATTTGTTTGTATTTTAACAACTTGATGAATATTTGTCATGGCACTGTAACCATGACGACTGCCTCCACCACCGTCGCCTACCCCTTCCCTCCCCTTCCAGCCTTGTCCGCCACCCCTTCCCCATCCCCCCCTTCAGCGCTGAAAAAGCAAGGGATGGTGAGAGATAGCAAGAGAGGGAGGGGGAGAGAAAGAGAGAGGTGACAGGGATGAACTAACAAGATGCACTAAAAAAATGCATGACCTGGAGCTGCATGAATCTTTGCAGTGAAGCACGCACCATCACACGCATTCTCACACATTCACACACACATTATTGCACTCAGCACATAGGGATCACATAGGTGAAGCCACATTCCAACAACTGGAACACCAAAAATGCGGTCATGGTTTTTGGTAAAGGAAAGACAAAAAAGGCAACCAACTAGAAAACTGGGGGTAGGAATGGAAGGGTGTGTGTGGGGTTGATGCTATGTCTTTAGATTTTGTTTTAAAAAATAACCGAGCAGATTGTTACTCAGCTTTCTATCTTACACCCCTTCTGTGTTTTTACCCAGTTTAGTAAAATATACTCAAGTAGAGTAATTTAATTCAACTTTGAATTCTTAGTGCTTCCATTTCCAGCCTCTTTATACTTTTATTCCACTATTTTTCAGAGGGAAATGTTATAATTTTCACTCCACCATTTATTTAATGTGTATTCATTACTGTCACTTTGCAGATTTTGATTTTACAATAAACATAGGCTTAGTTTGTAAAATATGAAGCATCATAAATGATTAAACTACCCAGCAGTATATAAACTACCTTAAACATTAAAATGCTACAGTATGTTCATGCACTTGATAATAATTCATCAATATAATATGTGGTGATACTGTATATAGTCACTCTGTATAATGTGCGTCTGCACTTTTACTAAGTAAAATTTTGACTGCCAGACTTTTGCTTGTAATTGAGCATTGTAATAAAGTGACTCTAGTACTTTGACTCAACCAAGCTGATGCTTCTTCCACCACTTTTTACCTTTAAACTTTCAAGTCCTTTCCTTTTTCTAAGGCACATCTCAGAGGAAACAGGGAAAGGGAGGGGGGAGAGACAGAGCAATGGGGTCAGCAGAGAAAGAATAGCAGAGTATGAAAGAGAGAGGGACCGACAGAGAGAAAGGGAGCGCAAAGTCTTGTCAACCGGAAATAAAACAAGCTGGCACCCTCCCCATCCCCAAGCCCCTGCACCCACCCCAAAGTCACATACTTCCTCTTCACTCTCTCTGTTCTCTCTCATCTGCCTCCCTGCTTCCATCTTCCACCTCTCCCTCATGCTTCCTCTCTCTCAGTCACCGCAAAAAGATATATTTAAACCCTGGTTCTACCCTCTTCTCACTTTCTGACTCTACCATACATACCGTCATACCTGTGTCATTACTTACGCCTCACATCGGACCTTGTGTGTCTGTCGCTATGGGCTCCTCTATGGTGGGGCCAGACAGCGCCTTTGTTTATTGTCCCGTTGCTTTAAGTTCAGTGCTTCAGCAGTGTAACAATACCTCAGTAGGGAGGGAACAATACCTAGGTTCTGTGGGAAAGATGTAACTTGACCTCTGGTGAATTGTGGTAACTTCACCTGCCCACATGCAGTATCTTTACAGCACTATAGGCCCGAAACACTGCTGAGGAAATACATAGTCCATATCAGCAAAAGAAGCATGGTATAAAGTAGAGTTGAAACTGTTGGTCAAGTAATCATTTAGTTGATTTACATCAAATTAATTGGCTACTATTTTGACAATCGATTCATTGTTTTGATCATTTTTAGGCTGTTATCACTTTCTCAGATCTGAGAATTTGTTGCTTTATCATGTTGAAAACTGAACATCTTTGTGTTTTGGACTGAGCTGCAAAATGGCAGTTTAATGATGATTGTATACAAAGTTCAAAGTGTTTATTTTGTCATATGCACAGTTAGGAAACGCGTTTCCCTGTACAATGAAATTCTTACTTTGCCGTCCACATGAATGCCACAAAATACAAAAAGAATATAACAGAATGTATGCTGCATGGGAGCAGCATGTGCAGCAGAGTCGTTGTGCAATTATGCATGTAACACAAAATCTAGGACACTTTAGGCAGCAACAAATGCAGCAATACAATAAAAGAATATAATAGAGAATGTATGCTGTATGGGAGCAGCATGTGCAGCAGTCAACAGTCATTGTGCAATTATGCATGTGCAAACATGTGAACAGTACATCACGTATTTCCTGGTAATAAACTCCTCAGCTGTTTAGGAGTCTGATGGCAGAGGGAAAGAAAGAGTTTTTCAGTCTAGTGGTCCTGCATTTTACACTTTTGAACCTCTAGCCAGAGGGCAAAGAACTGAACAGTCCGTGCTGGGGATGGGTGGGATCTTTGAGGATGGAGGCAGCCTTCCTACGCACCCCGTGGTGGTAAATGCTCTGCAGAGAGGGCAGTGGAGTCCTGGTGATCTTCTCCGCAGTCTTTACCGCTCTCTGCATTTTTGTATACATTACATTTTTGTATTATTAATATTTGTATGAACCAAAACATTAAGTGATTAATCAAGAAAATAACTGTCAGATTTTAACCCTATAAAACCATTTGTATCATATTTGATACGTGAGGCTGCTGAGCAAAAACAATCATCAAAAAGGCCCCATGTATCAAATGCGATACAAAAAAATAGAAATAATCTAAATAATATGGCACCTCTATTCCTATATGCCTGGACTGTCTGTCTATGCATATATGGCAAATAAAAATAGTGACTCTTGAATTTCATGAATTTTATTTTGGATTTTGTTAAAAGGTTTAGTAAACATCTCAGTTCCAAAAAAATGAGAATGTTCTGGCTATTTTTGGATATGTTGGGCTTTACAGGGTTAATTAACAGTGAAACCGTGTTACACAGTATTATGAATATATTATGGTTCTTGATGTTAAATGTGCGTAACAAATTTGTAGCTAATTTAGTATCATTTTTACTCATCTTAAGCAAACAAATGTCTGGAGTTAAGGTAGAACATTTTTTCAGACATTAACATCTTTTCATATACACAAATAATTCTGTGGCTATGATTAAAATTCAATTTAACAGTGCTGTTAAGCCTAATGCTCATTTTGTACTAATCATTTATTCTTGCTTTGGGTGCAGTTGCTGAATCTATTGTTTTACAACAGAAACACAATAACATGTAAAAGCTTTATGAAAGTTTTTTTAAATGACCTCTTATATATCAGTGAGAATTAGTCCCTACAGGTGTGAGCACTGAGTTCACTCTAATGTCAGTGCTCTGGTTGTAACTAACACACTTACTTGACTGACAGTTCACTAAATATTTATATGCAATTTATGACTAAAATTGAATTCCATCATCTATTTATCATCCACTATTTCTCCATTATCTGTGCTTTATGCTCTGCTCTCTCAGCCTCCCCTCCTCCTCTCTCTGGCATTAAGTTCAAACTTGACACTGATGTTGACTCACTTTGTCACTCCTCGGTGGCTCCCTCCCTCTCTCTCCATCGCTTGGAGGACAAGAGTGCCCGCAGACGCATTTCTCTCCAGAGCCCCCCCCCCCCCCCCCCTAACTCTCACCATCTCTCTCTTACTCTCTCCTTTACACACACACAGTATTGTCAACAAAGCTGGAGAACAAGGGACGTGGGGGGAACAGGGGGAAAAGGTCCACAGAGGAGGAGAGTAAAAGGATCCCCCCATCATTTCACCTGGACACCTGGTAAGTTTGCAGAGTGTCGTTGTGTGCATTGTTCTTTGCTGATATCATTTTTTTATTATATTGACTTTAGCAGAAGATTTGTGCTGACTGCTCTGCTAACTCTATTTATAAAGATTTTCTAGAATTTCATGAACATCAGATGAATGAATCATTGCTCAGTCTGCCTCATCCAAATGAATGAAGTGGGACCTCTGACATTGTACTGCTGCAGTAGTTAGGGTTTAGCTTCTTTCTGATTCTCCAAAGAGAAAATGTGCAAAAAATGGAAATGTTAGATAAGATCAGATGAGAAGAGCAAAGCGTTTATTCACAGCCTCTATATATCCTCAGACTTAGACACATATTTATTTTGGCAGATA